TACACCTACATAAACACGCCCCTGGTGGATGAGCCGTTTTGCCTGGTTGCTCCCCCACTCCACACCCCGGGGCAGCAGGACTTGGGACTCCTCAGCCTCAAGCATGCACACAGAGCAAGAACGCAGCTCTCCTTTACACACCCACAGTGATCTCCTGAATAAGAAGGAGCCCTCGAAAAAGGCACGTGATCAAAAACTACCCAATTCCCAAAAAGCCAAGGACAGGGATATGCCCCTCAAGTAAAAAGAGGATTATAAAATGTCGTAAGTTTTTGTAATATCCATTTTGAAAATCTATATATTACCCCCAAAATTAATGGAACTTCAGTTTTATTAATACTCATTCTAAGCCTCCATGAATCTGTTGTTTTAAGAAACACACAACAGTTCTTTCAAACACAAATATTTAAGACTCAAATTTATACATCTACACACAGCCCAAAATGAAAGTGACACAAGTGAGATACTAGTTCCCTTTCCTCAAATATGGATCAAAGCACACAGATCCATTAAGTGAGCAGTGTCAAGCTCCTGCAGAAAAGGAAGAAAAACCTCCCCACTAGGGACACGAGGCAAAGAGCTAATAGTTTCCTATGCCAACACGCCCAAATTTACATCTCCAAGTCAGTCTTCAAAATAAGTTGCAAAATTTTATAGAAATCACCCCCCCAAAAAAAATTTTTTTTTTTTTTTAATAAAACTACTTTCTTGCTAGGAGAGAACAGGGTTAAATAAATGAAATGATCATCTTTTTGGTTTCCCTGTCACACTGATACTTATCTTAGGGAAATAAGTAAGTTCCTATTACATCAGAATTCATTTTTTTCAGATACACCCAGCTCCAAATTATAAAGTAATAAAGTCCATTCATACAGAACTGAAAATTCAACCACCCTCTGTTACATCTGTTTTCTTTAAAATGTGTCTATGTCTAATAAAACTACCAAATAAGTTGTATATTAAGAGACTTCCTCTACACTGTCTTACATTTTTTAAAATCAGTTCTCAAGCCAGAATTAATATATTTTTATGCCAGAGTGAAGATGTTATTCTTATAATTTTAATGAAAGAAAATGGTAGTTAGAGGGTAGTTCATTAGTAGAAGTGGCCAGGTGTGATTTGGAGTATTTCCATGTCCACAACACAATTCAGATGCTTCTGATACAACATGACATGGGAAAAATGGAACGAGTATAAAAAGCTTTGCCAAAAATTCATTCCTAAATATAGATAAAAAAACAAAACCAAAGAAAAACGAGGGATTAGAGTTTCTTATTACAGATGCAAGGTAAGAATATGTTGTTCCCTGGAATATACCTATTGATTTTGTGTTAATATAAACATAAATTTAAGTGACAGCTGTGTTACAGAGTAGTTGCCTTTAAAAAAAAAAAAAAAAAAAAACTGCCAAAAGTAAGTACACAGAAATCAGGATCCCCAATGAAAACAATTTAAGCCATGCACAATTTCATTTCAGATAACCCAGAAAAACAGAAAACAGTTGACATTTTTCATTGTATTTTGTTTTTTAAATGAACCACAGTTGCCAATTCCACCTCCTCTTAATGATGGGGCAGCTGGCCAGTCATAGCTCAGCAAATATATCAATTTAGTCCACAAATATTTCTTTACAAAATTTAACACATTATATAGGATAACACTGCACTGAGCGGGGGGGGGGGGGGGGGGGGGGGGAAAGGGGGAGAGTGTTATAATGTATCTTATACAAATTTTAAGGTAATCAGGAACCAGCCTGTAAGTCTGGTTACTTACAAACCTTTCTGCTTTGAAATCAGCTAATCAGTTTTCTTTTAATGGTAAATAAGACTTTTAAAAAATTATGTTGTATTATATTCTATAAAATTAAAGTTAAAATAGCATTAATGAAATTCAGCACAAAAATGGACATCACAAAATCTTAGTTATGTGAGCAGACCTCAGTATTCCTTTTGAGATTGCTTTATCTGAATACTTTATCTCACAAAAACCCACTAAGTACATTGTAAAATGCCTTATTTCACTTTTTAAAAAGACCCTCCCCCATTACAACATACACACATTTTGTTCTCAATTACAAAAACATTTGCCACCCAATGTAAACCATTCCTAAAATCAAAAATGAAACTAAACGTGTTACAAGCCATGAGAAAATTTAATAGTATTTCCTGACCTATAGTTACATAGTAATCTAATGTTTTGGACAAACAATTGGTCCTTAGTATAACTATCATAACAAAAACTAAAGAATAGCAGCCTTCCAAAAGAAAAAATACCAAAAAAAGACACATTCCACATGTTATACGGTAAAGTACCTAAAAGAAATCAGTGAATCTAGGTCATATGCCCGGCATTTTTCTTCCCCCCTTAAAAACAAAAAAAGCTATTCCTAAGGGTCATACTGAGGACATAAAGGATTCACTCTCATTCCAAGAAAACAAAATACTTAAAATGATTAGTACCACTATGAAAAAATACCGTAAAGTAACACCGACCTACATCTGCCTCTATCATCCTTGTTTCTGGTTTACAGAGATGTGAATTCTAAACTGTGCCTTTAAAAGGAAGCTGACAAAGCAAATCTTTTCAAAATTAATCACACGGGTTTATGTACACAAAGTTTTCCTATGTTTTTACCTATCCGAATCAAAAAAATCAGAATCCCAAGTTTTCTATGAAGAATAGGAAAATGTATTCTCATTAACAGTAAAACTCTACTAACTGAAGATTAGAAAGGAGTGGACTCCCAATGTCCTCAGCCTGGGACATGATTATCTGTTAAATTCAGTACTGCATACATTCTGACAAGTCTCTCATCGAAAATACGGTTATTATTAAAATACACCTTCCTAAAGTAAATGAGCTAAGTAAAAACAGATATTACAACCACCATTATTCCTTTTTAACATACTTTAATGTTAAAAAAGTTTAAAAAATTCTAATGTCCATGAAAGAAAAACTATTTGGAAGAAACCCAGCACAATTTGCATGTAATATGGTTTCCCTAAAACATTGTGTAAGCAGTTCACACAAGGCTCACAAAACCTAATCTAGCAAAATAATCAAGGGGGGTAAAAGATTCCTGATGCATTTGCTTCCAAATCAGAAGCAAATATAAAGTAATTTTTAAAATTTCACAAGGTCCACTTCTTCCCTTTTAACTAATTGTTGTCTGCAAAAATTATTATAGTTTCCTCACTTCATGTTTTCTTAAACATCACATCTATTCTAACTGAAACTCCTCATCCACTAACATCTAAAAACGATCAGAATTGTTAAAGCACAACTGATCAGAAATACAGTTTTAATCTTGTTATAAAGCTAATTAAATATTACTAAAATATACCGCTATCAGAATCGTGACATTTTTAATGTTACAAGTTTTAATTTTACATTAAACTGCATGTGATGACATAATTCCAAATTTTTTCATGGTTTAATCCATAAAGGGTAATTTTATAAAAGCTTTCCAAATCCAGAAATTGGTAAAATTCTTGATTTAATTCTTTTTCAATTGCCATATCCTCACCCTACAATTACAGTGAATGAGATATGCAATGGCCATGCTGAGACTGTCAAATAGCTGAATTTTCTAAGTGCCCAACACTGGACACCAGTGTGATGTTTTTAGGTATCTAATCCTCTTATTAGTAACTGTGATTCATAATAATTTAAGCTTTAAATAATATTCCACCTTACATCTGCATGTAATAGAGCTCAGTTATTATTTGTGGCAAGAATTTTTGTGACTGTACTGCTCAGCACTTCTATTTACATCAGCAGTGCTAAATGCCCAATGGTGAGAGGGGAGCCAATCAGATGGCAGATTAGATGTCAACTCAGAGGCAGCTGTCTGGAGACTATTACAGCCAGTTTACCTCCACAATTCAAATTCCAAACCTTGCAAAGGAGATCAAGTCAGTCTTTAGGCTCAGCCTCCGAGCGAGAAACAGCAAGAGTGCAGGACTCTTCCTAATAACGCTGCATGACTTGGGGGGGTGGGGAGGGACAGGAAATTAAAAACCCAAATAAATCTGATCCAAAAAGATCCATTTTCACTGGTGAGCTCCCTCCCTGGGTTCGCTGACTAAAAACGTACGCCTAACCCACGATCCAAATAAGTTCAGTTTAACCGGAATGTGTTCCTTTAACGCAGCCTATCCGTTGAAGGTGACTCCTTTCAAGCAGCCAGCAAGCCAAATAATGGATTTCCCCGGCTTATTCTTGGGAATGAATCGATACATTTCAGGGTCGTTTTCCTCCCCATCGGTGTAAAACGTGGGTACTCTTTTTGGCTACTAAACGCTCAAAACTCGAAGCCCGCGTCGAATATCGCACAACTACGAAACACACGCTCGGCTGCCACAAAGCTAACCTCTTTTTTTTTTTCCCCTCCTGCCTTCACCTTGTGAGCTATAAGAGGGAAAAACGCGGTGTGGCCTGAGGTAGGACAAAGTTCCTCATTCTTCCCGCAGTTCGAGCTCATGGTGGGCGCTACCCGAGAAGCGGGGGGCAGTTATTCCTCCTCAGACCCTACCGGCCCGGAGCGCCTATTTCTGTGGTAAAAAATGAATAAATTAATAAAATAAAGCTGCCCGAACGGTCCCCGGCGCCCACACGGCTTCCCGGTGGCGCGGTCCCGGCCGCGCGGCTCGGCGCCCGGGGCGGGGGTGTCGAGGCGGGCGCTCAGCGACCGGCCACCGCGGCGCCCGTCCCGGGCCTCGGCGAGGGACCCCCTTTCCGCCCCCCGGGGCCCCGGGCCGCGCACTCCGACCCTGCGCGCCGCCGGGCCTCGGAGCGAGGCAGCCGCGAGTTAAAATGGCTTTGGGCGCCTCGCCCCCCCCCACCTCCCCACCTCCGCCTCACACACACACACCACCACCACCCCCCCACCAGGGCCGAAGACGCAGAAAAAGTAACGCGGAAAGAAAAGAAACTACAGGGCTCGCGGCGCGCGGCGAGGCCGCCGCGGCGGAAGCAGGCCCGGCCGGCGCGGGGGTTACCTGGGATCTGCCCATGGTCGGGCCGGGGGTGCCGGGGCTCATCGCCGGGTGGCTCCTTTGTTGCGCGGCCGCCCAGGCCGGGCTGGCAGCGGCGTATTGGGCTCCCATGTCCTTGCCCAAGCCCATGCCCGCGGCCGCCTGCTGGCCGCCCGCCGCCGCCCCCGCCGCCGCCGCTGCTGCCGCCTGGGACTGGGGCTGCGACGGCGGCGGCGGCGGCGGCGGCGCGCTGGGGCTGCTGTAGTCCGGGTAGCTGCCGCCGTAGCTCCTCATCATGGGGCTGGGCGAGGTGAGCAGCTGGTTGAGGGTCGGGGTGGCCCCCGACGGGTGCTGGTTCTGCCCGGCGAAGCGCTGGAAGCCCCCCGTCGCCGCCGCCGCCGCCGCCGCCGCCGCCGCCGCCGCGCCGGCGGCCGCCTTGCTGAGGCTCGCGGCCCCGCCGCCCCCGGGGCCCATCATCATGCCGCCGCCCTGCTGCCGGGGGGAGCTCAGCACCCCGTACCCCGAGGACGAGCCCCCATAGCCGCCGCCGCCGCCGCCTCCTGCTGCTGCTGCTGCCGCCGCCGCCGCCGCCGCGGCCGCCGCCGCCACAGCTCCCGCTCCTCCCGCTCCTCCTCCTCCTCCGCTGCCGCCGCCTCCTCCTCCTCCTCCTCCGCCTCCGCCTCCTCCTCCGCCGCCGCCGCCGCCCGCGCCGGGCCGGCTGTAGCCCGGATAATGGTTGTACTGGCTGTTGGGGTACCCTTCGTGGGAGTTCTGCAGGGGGTCCATGCTGTTGGGGGCTCCGGCGGCAGCTGAGGCGGAGTGCATCAGCCCCATCCCGGGGCTTTGTTGTCCGCCATGTTGATCAAAGCAAGGCCCAGCGCGGCCGCCGGGGCCGCCGCTAGCTGGGGCAGCGCTGCCATAGTAATTATTAAACTCCGAGACGGCCGCCGGGCCGCCGCCTCCGCCGCCCCCGGGCACGGCGACCGGCGGCGGCGGCTGCTGCTGCGCGCCCAGGCCCGGCTGCTCGAACCGGCCGCCCGCCGGCTCCCCCATCTTGGGCGGCGCGTCGTCCTCGTCGCCCGGCTTGCTCAGCAGCGGCTGGCCCGGGGGTTCGGCCTGGCTGCCCGCGGCAGCACCGTCCTTGGCGCCTCCATGTTGCGGCTGCTCCATGTCGGCACCGGGCTGAGGCGTGCCGCCGCCCGCGCCGCCGAGGCTGCTGTTGTTGGAAATGGGATGTTGGTGCTGCTGCCGCTGTGGTTGCTGCTGCTGCTGCTGGAACTGGCTTAGCTGCTGCTGTAGTGCGTGGTGGTGGAGGTGGTGGAGGTGGTGGGCATGGTGGTGGAGGTGCTGGAGGTGTTGGGCACGGTGGTGGTGGTGGTGGAGGTGCTGCTGCTGGTGGGGCGCTGCGGCGGCGGCTTCGCCAACGGTGTTCAGTTTGTGGTTGGGGAGCAGCCCCGTCTCCATGGCCGAGCCCGGGCCCGACGAGGAGGAAGAGGAGGACGCCGCCGCCGCCGCGGCGGAGGAGGAGGAGGAGGAGGAGGACAGCGCGGCGGCGCTTCCACCCTCCGCCTCGGAGCCGCCGCTCTTGGCGCTGTTAGTGCTGGCGGCGGCCGCGGCCGCGGCGCTCGCGTTATGGGCCATGTTCAGATCGTGACGGGGTTGCAGGGGGTGGTGGTGCACATTATTCAGGCCGCTGCCGTCGCCGCCCCCCAGCATGGGTCCCGGGGCCGCCGCGCCGCGCGCCCCCGCCTCCAGGTCCCGGGACCCGGGCGCCGGCCGCGGCCCGGGGGGCGCCCGCCGCTCGCCGCTGCCCGCCCGCGCTGCTGCTGCTGCCCGCGCGGCCATGATCGCCGCGGCGTGGCCAGGCCGGGCGGGGGGGCGCGGGGGGAGACAATAAAACCCACTTTCTCGTCCGCGGCCCCTCCTGTGCGCATCCACACGCCCCGACGGGAATCGAGCGAGCCCCCTCCCCACTCCCCTCCCTCCACGGGCCCCGCCGGAGCCGAACCGGGAGTCTACGCCTTACGGTCTGGGCCTGTTCCCGCTGTGTGATTTCAGGGTGAAAGTTTTTAGTGCAGGTTTAAATGAAACTTTTTCTCTTTTTCCTCTCTACCCCGGATATGGGTAAAAATACACGACTGACTTGAGCCGCTCGGGCCCAGCATGGCTTGAGAGGGAGCCGGGCGAGCCCGAGCAACTATTATCCACTTCTCTCTGATTGCTCGGGCGCACTCGCAAAACGCGGACTGGACTCAGCCCTGGGCGGCCGCGGCCCGCGGGGCCCTGCGCCCGCCCGGCCTCCCGGCCCCGGTGCAGCCTCGCGGCCACCGGCGGCCCCGGGCCGGGGAGCTCGGGTCGGGCCGCGCCGCTGGCGTCCGGAGCGCGGCGGGCGTGGGGCGACCGGAGGCTGCACTTTCCCCTCGTGCCTCCGTCGCCTTGCCAACCGGGCGTTCGCCTGTTTGTTTTCACGTCTAAAAAGGCACGATACAAAGGTGGAAAACGAGTCTGACGAGCAGACAAAAGAGGGAGAGAAGGGCTGCGGAACAAAGTTGTCTGTCGGCCTCAAAGGTTACGAGGAGCCGACGGAGAAAGAAAATATTTGGGCTATCTGTGCAAAAGCACTGCCTCTCCCAAGAGTTATGTAATTTTTCAGCATGTTAGCCTCTCTCCCTTGATTTTGGCCCATCAGTATGATTCCCACAACTTCTTCAAACTGCAAAATTAGGAAAGAGTTTTAACTGAAGGTTCCAGGAGGTCTGTGCCCTGTACACAACAGGTACTCAATACATGCCTATTACTGACTGCACCTGCCCCAAAGAAATGCCAATATAACTTTTTTTTTTTTTTTTTTTTAAGGCAGTGTGTGTGTGTGCCTGGGCGCTTAGTCCCTCAGTTTTGTTTGAGACTCTGACTCCATGGACAATAACCCACCAGGCTCCTCTGTCCATGGGATTCTCCAGGCAGGAACACTGGAATGGAAAGCCATTCCCTTCTCCAGGGGATCTTCCCGACTCGGGGATCGAACTGGGGGTCTGCTGCGTTGCTGGCGGGTTCTTTACCATCTGAGCTACCAGGGAGGCCCACGTAGGCTTTATTAATGAAAACACAAAAGTATCCCCGAAGGAGCATTTTCCTCACAATGCACTTGCCTGTCTTCTCTCTGAAGGGAAAGCCTTCAAATATGTAGAGTGGTGTGTTATGCTCCCAACAACTTGCACGTGGAAATTTAACTATTGGTGCCATAATAGCAAGAGCTAAGGTTTATCTCATGTCTTCATAAATCTGTATGACGCCTTTCATCCTATTTTAGAGGTTATGTGCATAGTTAACCCTCTTGATATGAGTTCATTTCTAAGTAATGTGAAACAAAACTAAAAGAAATGCATGTTATATTTCATAAACATAAGATCAGTGATGATGTAAATCCGTCAAATCTAATCCTACAGCAAAAACGTTTCACACTTTTTCTTCAAATACTATCCATTGTTTTATCACTTTTTGATGTTTTAAATGTTTTTATTATTGTGAATCTGTCACCTAGTAACATCTTGAATATCTTCCAAAGCAGGACTTCTTAACCTAAACAATAGCTCAGCTGTACTAGTGTGGACTCAGTTTTCACCGAGAGAAAGTGTCTGAAACCAGAGCTTTCAAGAAGTCCTGCTAGCTGAAATGATATATATGATTTTGGTAGAATGTAGCTTTCTAAAATCATCTAATTCTTCAGCTTTCCATAAAGGCTGTTTTAGTTTATTTCAACTGCAGTGGTTATTTTTGTTTGCTTGACCAAATGTAAATATGTTACTGGACTAAACAGAAAAGGATAGATGTGAAATACCGGTGACTGATGGTGGAGGAGGAGAATCAGGTGCACACCCAAGGTGCATACAACAAATTGCAAGTCTATGCAAACAGCTGGAAAACAGGAGTTATATCATCACGTGTAAGTGAATAAGAAATTTAAGGTGAATCCATGCCAAATCATTCATCAGTTTTTGCCAAGAGAATGCTACATCTTTGTTAGTGTGCCTCTTTGACATTTTCTCCTGGATTTTCTCCCTTTATATAGTCAAATACATACTAATTACATGATGATACCACATAAGTTGAATTTTTCAAATTTTCACATGCAAATACAAATATATGTTTTGCGTATGTGTTTATACATATATTCTAAACTCAATTACATATTTATGCTTTTAGACATTTATAGTCCAACTGAATGTACACATATAGCCATAAAAATACATTTTTTCCAACTGATAAAATATATCAACATCAGTTCATACAAGTGCAGCCATATTTTGTGGCTTATTTTCACAACTAATCCTAAAAAGGGAAAATGAGTCACCAAGTTCACCTATGGCCCTTTTCTTAACACTTTTTTTTTCTATATAGAAAAATCATGAAACTTGAAAAAAAAACTAGGTATATAGGTCGAAATCTCTTTTAATTCCTCTTGCTTCAGCAAGTCAACTAGAAGATTGGAACCAAGAGGCTATGAAATCGAGGCCCCCAGCACAATGAAGTCAGTCTGCTATAAAAGGCGACACATGCCAGCTTCTCCTCCCCAATGGCAGATGCCACACCCTGAAACAGACAGAAGGCAGTGCAGTCTGTAACAGAAGCACAACACAAAGCCGGCAGGACTTGGTTTTGTCTCTTGAACCACAGAGCATGCTAAAATACCTTTTCAAAAGCGTCTTGCTGAAGGTAGTCGTGGGCTCCTCTTTATTCAACTTAGGCTTCTCAAACACACCTTCTTGAGAAAACAAAAGAAAAGCCTCTTAACAGTTTCATTTAAAAAATCCAGGACTTAACAAAATCGCAGTTGTCGGGTCTGTTAGAAAGTCATGAAGTAGGTTCACATTTCTCAAAAGCCAAGTCATGAAATAGTTTCATATTTCCCAAAAGCATGATTCGAACTGTAGATTATAGTTCCTGTTGTGTCTGCTGCCTCAATTATCCTATATGGAGATTCTACAGTAGCTTTCAAATGGAAAATAAAGTACTAGAAATGACCACATTCATTTTTTCCTAATGAATTCTTTATTTTGACACCTCTTGCCTAAATTTCAAACCATAATGACAACTTTAATAAGTCACTAGCCACAAAGGAGCCGAGGAGGTGAAAGTCCAAAAGCTGCAGAGTGGGCTCACCCTGCCTGCAGCCTCCCTGCCACCCACCGAACGCCCCACACCCTCACGGTTAGCCAGAGGATTACCCAGTACTTTGTTAAACATTACTTTCTGGTTACAAAAACGGGGTTGGGTTTGGTGGGTTTCTTTAACGTTGTGAAAAATTGATATTCAAATACGATTCCCTTTGAATAAGTTTTAGGGCACTGAATCAAAGGCTCTTCAAACCTGCCCACTTAAAGAGGATTGAGCCAGATGGTAGTTTAAGAATGCCACAGTTCTGTTCTCTTTGCCTCTTCATAGCCCATCACACTGTTTGCTTTAAGATTAGTCGCCTTTTACTGTTCTGGTTATTTATTCAATAACTAAACTATCATGATTCACTACCCATCATATTTCTCAATGTTCTTTACATAATTTGGAACCAATTTAGACTAAAGCCCTGTCAAAAGTTTTAAAATAACTATTAAAGACTAAGGCTTTGGATACTTGCTTTCCTTTTAGATTTATGAGAAATGCTATGAATGGAGCTAATGGGATTTCCCTACTTATCTTGATCAGGGACCTTAAAAAGCACTAAACAATTGTCCTTTTCACGTCTCTGATTTAGATGTTAGCAGTGAATAACTGAGTAAATGCAAGATACGGGATACAGCATTTGACTTGAAACAACTATGCAAATGTAAAAGTGGCCCATAAGCTTAGGATGCAAAACAACTAGGATCTGAAAACAAACATCTAGGCAAGAAATAATTTAAATAAATGTGGGGACTCTTGGCTAACAAGAGCACTACTATATTTACTAAGACTATTATAGTGGGGATAATAAACTGGATGGGGAGAGGGATAAACTACACCTTTTTCTTTCAACAAACGTCTAGAATCTAGCTTGTGACATTCCCTGAGAATAAAAATACTACCTTCGTTCTGTCCTAAACAGGGGAGATAAACTGTTAACCTAAAACATACTTATTGTTGTTCAGCTGCTAAGTCGTGTGCCTCTCTGCGACCACCTCATGGACTGCAGCATGCCAGGCTCCTCTGTCCACTTTCTGAGTTCGGTCAAATTCATGTCCATTGAATCTCCCAGGTGGTGCTGTGGTAAAGAATCTACCTGCCAGTCCAGGAGACCCAGGTTCCATCCCTGGGTCAGGAAGATCCTCTGGAGAAGGAAATGGCAACCCACTCCAGTACTCTTGCCTGGAAAACTCAGTGGACAGAGGAACCTAGCTAGGTACAGTCCCTAGGGTCGCAGAGTCGAACACAACTGAGCATACAAACACACGCATTAGACATACTTAGGGCTGCCGTGAATCGTCATGGAGGATCCGGCCAGAAAATAAGCAGTTCAGACTTCCCCACCTCACAGCATTCCCTGCAGCTCTCCCTTGTTGGCTGCCATCGGCAGGGCACTGCGCCCTAATCATCAGTCTAGTTTGAAGTGTTGCCGGAACCCACCAATGCTAAAGCTAGACTTCAAGAATCCTAAGTCAGGTTCACCA